TACATCCTCCTCCTCCTCCTCACCACTCCTCTTCCTACCTGTTCCCCTCCCCACTCCCCCCCTCGCCAGCCCTCCACCTCATCCTTCAAGACCAGCCACCGGCACATCAACGAACGAACCCAACCGACACAACCACGAGGCTAGCAAAACGGGGGCTGGCGGCAGAGGGCGAAGCCCTGAAGATAACAAGATGGATGACAATTTGACTCGATTGGCCGATGCAGACGACCAAGCAATACGGTGCATGACGCCCGGACTCCGCGCTGCCATCGGAACGCACCGCACGCGTAGTAATATCAGTCGGGATGGGATGCCCCACAGTGGCTCGGAGTGTCTAGCCCTTCTCAAAAGGCCCCTTCGGACCAAGAGGGCAACGGAAGACAAACCGGTGCGCGCACAGCTGCATTAACAATGGCTGGCACGGGGTAGAAGAGACGCAATGCACAAACACACGGCCACACAGCTGATACCAAGCTTGTGATTGCACACGGTCGCCAGTCTACGGTGAGGGCAGGGGGAACAAAAAAGCCATAGTCATTTTATCGAGCTGCCCATAGTTTGCTCACTGGGTCGATGAAGAAGGAAGGCTGTTTGCGTAGACCTTGCGCGCAAGTGTGGGTCTCGATGTTCGGGTTCGATGTTCGAGAAGGGGGAGCGACGGACGAAGGAGGGACCACGAAAAATTAAGGGACCAGGGGGGGGGGGGGAGCAGGGGCCGTGCGGCGACCGGGGGCGGGCGGGGGGGGACGAAGAAGCGACCATGAAAAATAAAGCGGCCAGGGGGGGGGGGGGGACAGGGCCGTGGCGGCGACCAGGGGCGGGCGTGGGAGGCGATGGACAAAGCAGCGACCACGAAGAGCTGAAGGGCAGGGGGGGGGAGGGGCAGGGGCCGTGGCGGCGACCGGGGGCGGGCGGGGGGGGCGACGGACGAAGGAGCGACCGCGAAGAGCTGAAGGGCCAGGGGGCGGGGGGCAAGGTCCGTGGCGGCGACGGGGAGCGGGCGGGGGGGCGACGGACGAAGGAACGACCACGAAAAGTGAATGGGCCAGGCGAAGGAGCGGCCACGAAAAATTAAGGGACCGAGGGGGGATGGGGGGGAGGGGCAGGGGCAGCGACCGGGGGCGGGCGGGGGGGGCGACGGACGAAGGAGCGACCGCGAAGAGCTGAAGGGCCAGGGGGGTGGGGGGCAAGGTTCATGGCGGCGACGGAGGGCGAGCGGGGGCCCGACGGACGAAGGAGCGACCGCGAAAAGTTACAGGGGCCAGAAGGGGTAGGGGGGCAGGGGCCGTGGCGGCGACCGGGGGCGGGCGGGGGGGGGCGACGGACGAAGGAGCGACCACGAAGAGCTGAAGGGCCAGGGGGGGTGGGGGGCAGGGGCCGTGGCGGCGACGGGGGGCGGAAGGAGGGGCGACGGACGAAGGAGCGACCGCGAAAAGTTAAGGGGCCAAGGGTGGTGGGGGCCGTGGCGGCGACTGGGAGCGGGCGGGGGGGGGGGCGACGGACGAAGGAGCGACCGCGAAAAAAGAAGGGGCCCAGGAGGGTGGGGGCCGTGGCGGCGACCGTGGGGGGGCGACGGACAGAGGAGCGACCACGAAAAGTTAAAGTGGCCAGGGGGGTGGGGGGCAGGGGCCGTGGCGGCGACCAGGGGCAGGGCCATGGCCGCGACCAGGGGCCGTGGCGGCGATCAGGGGCCGTGGCGGCGATCAGTGGCCGCGACCCCTGGTCGCCGTGGCGGCGACCAGGGGCCGTGGCGGCGATCAAGGCCCGAAATAACGATGATGGCTTCGCCGAAACCGACCTAGACAACTTCTCGCATGGGGTCTCCTAGCTCCCCCCCCCCCTTTCCGCCTGGGCAGGAGATGGTCAATCGCGATTCCTTGTCCAACCCCATTTTTCCCCTTCGGGGATGGGGTCATCGCTGCTCCTGGATAATATTTGCCACCTCGCCCAATCCACCGACCGCTAACCCGAGTCACTGCCACCCCCCACGATTGCAACCAAAAACAACTTGAAATACCCCCAGGCGGCTCCCCCATTAGAGCTCGAAAATGCGATACAATCCGTCTGAACCATGATCATCATATTCTCATGGTTATGTAGATCCGCCACCGTGCCTCTGGGCACGGAGTGGGCGTGCCCTTCTTCCATCATCTACTCAACCTCAGTCCTCATTCCTGAGGAGTCGTTCAGAGACCCAGACCCCACATCGCGAAATCTTCTCCTGGGGCTTCTCGCGGTTTCTCGCGTGACCGTTTCGGAGCAGTGGGGGCCCCCAAACGGGCCAACGGGGCCCAAAGAGGCCCACGACGGCCCCAGAACGCCCCGATACGCCCAACAATCGCCCCAAGAAGCCCTACATGGCCTCATGATGGCCCAAAGGCCTCCAAGATGCCCCAGGAGGCCTTGAAGATGCCTCCCAAGAGGACCCTGAGAGGCAAAAACCATTGACTTGCCTTCGTTGTTTGAAAAATGTTGCCGTTCTCGCCTGTTTCCTTTCCGACGCTCCCAGACGGCCCGAGGTCCCCAATACCACCCCAGGACTGCCTAAGAGGCCTCCCAGAGGGCCTCCAAGAGGCACCCAAGAGGCACCCAAGAGGCCTGAAGAGGCTCCAAGAGGCACCCAAGGGACCCAACAGCGACCCCAAGAGGCTCCAAAGCTGCCCCGAAGAAGCCCCAAAACTGCATCCAAGAGGCCGCAAACCTGCCCCCAAGATGCCTCAAAAAAAAGTCCACCACGAAATCCCAACGAACATCCAATAGGCTTCATACCTACAACCTAGGCACAGTGGCGGGAAGGCCATTCGATAGAGAGGAGTCCGAGGTGCAACAGAGAATCATGAGTCCAGGGGGCGAAGCTCAGGCCTGGATGTCTCACCAGAACCCTTCCTGCCGTACTCGGAAAGGCACCCCGACAACAAACGAATCAAACATACGTCGCTCAATTGGGGTCGGCGGCAGAGGCGGCAGCCTTTAGATATTCTCATACCAAACAAACAAAAAACTAGTGTAATAGAGGCGTCAGCTCTTTTAAAACATCACATTGCATAAAACAGGGCTGTCTAAGCAAGACAATTGATTCCCCAATCAGTGCTTGCACTGAAGAGGTCCTCGCGGAGGTTGAAGGATTTGGGCGCAAATTTCCCGCCGATTCTGGTCGCACGCTGGGTTCCCCGGTTCCCGGTTCTGGCTTCCCGGGTTCCCGGTTCCGGGCCGATTTCGGAGGGCGGCGAGGTTCCCAGGTTCCAGGGTTCCTGGTCGATCTTCTTCTCGATCGGTTTAACCGTCGATCTCACTATCGATCTCACTATCGATCTCACAAGCGATCTCAGTAGAGATCGCATGAGCGATCTCGCGATCGATCTCAGTATCGATCTCATTGAATCGATTTCACTCTCGGTCTCACGATCGACCTTACAATCGTCCTCACTATCGATTCCACTATTGATCTCATTATCGATCTCACAATCGATCTCAATATCCATAGTACTAATGTTCAAATCATCCACTGATTGGGGTTTTCTCAGGTGCAATGCTCTTTTTACACAGACAAGATGATGTTGGCCTACAAACCAGAACGGTTCACCATTGCTTGCAAGGATAGGAGGCGGGCGGACACGGAGGGACGCGGGGTGGGGAAGAGCCACTATTTTCGAGCGGGTGCAGCGTTCGGCGGCGCGCCGCCGATACGTATACGATGGCCAATGCGAGAGCAGACACTTGGCCGACCACTCCGGCCAAACAATGCGGAGGGAGAGGGAGAGGACACTCGCTGGAATATGGTGGCCTCTTTGTGAGGCCTTCACGCTTCAGAAACCACAGAGCCCTTCAACAAAAAGACGATTGCCATGCCTACAAGATACGCGTGGCGGTAAAACCCGCCAGCGTTCCTTCGGCATGTTGGGCAGTGGTAGAATGCGTGCCAATTGTCTGGTAGAGGTTCCTGGATCTTTCCTTGGGCCGCCCCCCTCCCATCGCGCGTGCTACTCTCCGACGCATGCTCCGGCTTGCAGGCGGCTCCAAGACAGTCAGAAGGCGAGCCGATAAGGCCGTGACACGGCCCAAGTGAATCCAAAGAAGGCCCAACGAGCCCCAAGACGGCACAAGAGGTCCCAAAACGGCCCAGGATGGCCCCGGGACGGCCCAGAATGGCTCCAAGACAGCCAAAGAGGGTCCCAAGACGGCCAAGGTGAATCCAACGACGGCACGACGAGCTCCAAGACGGCCCAGAATGGCCCCAAGACGGCCCTGGCTGGTCCGCATGTGGAGGGAGACACTCGACTGGCAAACATAAACAATAACAATAATCAGTGATGTTCATGAGGCGTTTGAAAAGCTCGGGGGTGCTCGCCTTCTCGGGCTTCTGAAAACCCAAGACGGCTCCAGAGAGGGCCCCGAGAGGGACCCGAGAGCGTCTCAAGACTGCCCACGAGGCCTCAAGACGGGCAAAGAGACCCCCAAGAGAGCCTCAAGAAGGGGAACTCGAAATGTCCTTGGGAACCTTTCCCTCCAAAATGATCCCGGAGATCCGCAACATGCTCCTGAGAGGCCCCAAGAGGCCGCAAACAGGTGTCAAGAGGCACCCAAGAGGCCTCCAAGACGCCCCCAAGAGGACCCCGACAAACGGCCCCCAAGATGGCCCCAAGAGGCCCCCAAGAGGCCCTCCAAGCCCCAGGCAAGCCCACAAGAGAAGCCTCTGAAATGCCTCCAGGAGGAAGGAAGGAGGATAGAAACTATAAGGAGCGACTAGAAACAAAACAAAGAAGGAGAACGAGGCTGTTGTCGAGGAGGGGTTGATCAAGACCCACTCCAGTTGAGCGCCTTGTCAGAACTGGATGGGTTCTGAAACGAAACATCCTACCTGCTGCGCTACTGCGCTGCTATGATGGCGACGTTTGCCGCAGGCACCGGGGTATGCTCTGCCACCATTCTTTCCCAGGGCTCTCAACTTACCACCTCTACGCATGGTGTCCCAGAATATCCTTGCACCCCAGGAAACCTTGTCACAATACATTGCGCTCTCTTTGCAAGAGCCACGTCCATCCGCAAGGCGCAAATACACATCGCAAATTTGCATGCAGGCACAGATGGATCCACCCGTGGAAACAACTGAGTGTAAGAAACGTGCTTGCAAGGCTCCAGAGAGTAACAAACACGCGAGCGGAGTAAACTCCCATGTTCGCTCGCCTTCCCCGTCCCTCCGGCTCTGACTTCGGTCCGTCCGGGGTGCCCTCCATGAAGAGGACCACCTGCGGCTCGCACCCTGACCCCTTTATGCTGGGCATAGGTCTTACAATCGCATCCGACGGTTTCCCTGTACTTCAATACAACAGCATTATCACCAGAACTCCTGATGTTACCGTTGGTGTGATCACCAGCGTGTTCTGCAGTGTCATGCGAGAGTGGCCCGTCATCACCACCCTTGCGCTAGCCTGCGGCCGATATCAATATTGCAATACGTATGGCCACCGTGAATGGAGAGCAAGCCACAAGTACACGTCGGCACTGCCTTCTACGTGCACGACACCTGTAGAAACATGAGCACCGCTTGTTCATAAAGTATTGTTTCCTGCTCCCTCACCGCTGCCTCTCTCACTCCCTCCTCCGCTCCTCAAGTCTCTTTCTACTACCACCACTCCCCCTCATCACCACCACTACTGATACATCGCGGCAGTCAGATTGAGATGCAAATTCACACATATCGGTTTTTGTCAAGAACCCTCAGCCGCACACTCCGCTGATCAATCGCGTCTCTCGCCTTATTGGCCGCCAGCTCAGCGTCGAGGTCACCGTTGACGGCCGACTGGTTGGCCTCGGAGGGGATTAGCGACAAAAAACATAATCACCAAAAACGAGAATCGAAACAATTCGACAGTAAAACAAATGACACTAAATCAAAACACGAAACTGCCAATACACAAATCCTTCATGCAAGAAGTACATACATGTACGTATTTCAAATGTACGTGCATACACATGCACAAATCCGCCGACCCTGTCGGCGTGTGGAAGATGCTTTTCCGTTCGTCGTGAACGTCGTCGTCGTCGTCGCCGCCGTCGTCGTCGACGTCGTCGCCGTCGTCGTCGTCGCCGTCGTCGATGCTCTTCCGTTCGTCGTCGTCGCCGTCGTCGTCGTCGTCGTCGCCCTCCCCGCAGGCGCGCCAGCCAAAGCGAAACCAAAGCGAAATCGAGCAACGCCGCAGCTGAGTCGAAGGCAAAGCAAAATTGAGCAACGTCGTAATCCAGAAGCCGCATTAAAGTGATCATTTGTTTTTTGGCCCCCCCTCTGTCACAGAGGGGCCCTAATATGCCCCCCCTCTGTCACGGAGGACCTCGTTCTGGGTGCTCTTCTGCCACGGGAGCCCCCGATGCGATTGGAGACGATAAAATGCGATGGCGGGATGGGGGATTGGAGGGGGAGGGGGAAGAAAGCGAGGAAGGAGAGGAGGCAACGACAACACCGATGAAAGCACCGTTTCTTTTTCCTTCTCCGCTCGGGCAGCGGTCGCCGAGCACGACGGCGCGCGCGAGTCGCCGCCGCTCACGATGCATTGGCAAGGCCTCCGCTGCTGCGGAGGGTCGACGTTCGGCCGATGAGGCCTCCCTCCGCTGCTGCGGAGGGGCGGCTCCTGTGCGACGGTTCAGCTAAGTTCTTCCCAGGGATTGGTCTCGGGAGGGTGTTCGACCCACCTCCAATTCGTGGCCCCCCAGTGCCCCTGGCCGCTACTCCACCCACTGTGGCTGCTCCACCAGTCACTGGGGCGTTGGTCGCTGCCGAATGCAACTTGCATGTCGCGCCAGGCGGAGTCGACCCTGCGGTCCTGCAGCGAGGAAGCCTCGCCGCTCGGCTGTTGCCACTCGCGCTCCTCGCCCTCCCTGGTGCGCCACCGCTCATCCCTGCGCCGCTCCCCGTCTGTTGGTTGCTGCCATGGCGTCTGTGGCCTCCGCTGATGCGGGGGCTCTGGCGGCTGATGCCGCGGCGCCTCCCGCGGCTGCTGCTCTTGCAACCCTCGCCCTCGCTGCTCCAGCGGCGCAGGCCCTGGAGATGGCCACTGCGGGGTCGGCTGCCACCTTGGGGGTGATAAGTAACTATTTCTATAAGTATCCCCTTCCTGTCAACTCCCGCCCCTTCCCGACACTCATTTCCTTATGTCATCCCTCGTCCTGCTCAGCCTATTCCTCATTCCCTCTCCTCCCTCCTGCCCTCCCCGTGCTCCGCCCCCCCTCTCCCTCCCAAACCCCCGCCGCGACCTTCCACCGCCAGCCGAGGGCCAGTCGCGGCCGTCGTCCGCGTTTTCGTCTGCCCATCTTGGCGGGCGTCACGCCTGTTGGGCGCGCTCGTCTTGCTCGTCCCTCTCGCGGCGCTGCTCTGGTGCCTGGCGCTCGGGTCCGTGCTGCTCGGGCGCCGCTGCTGCGGCGCCCTGGAGCGCAGCTGCTTGCTGTTTCTGGGCGCGCCTGTCCTTCTTCTCTTTGTTTCTCTCCTGCTTCCACCCCTGCGAACGCGAGCTGGCCGTGCGCAGTTGGAACAGGAGAGGGTAGTGGGCGCCGCCGTGCCAGCGCCCCCCCACCTCCACGGCCTCCGGCGGGAACGTCTTCTGCAACGCGCGGGGGAGGGTCACCTCGCGATTACTAGAGAAGCGGCGGCCCCCTCTAGCCTCAGCCTCGGCGCGCCTCAGTTTCTCACGCTCCTTCTCTTGGATCTTGCGTTGGCATTCCTCTGACTGAGTCAGTAAATCCTGGAGGTGCTCGCGGGCGTCTTTTTTCGGGTAGTAGCGATCGTAAGGCATCCCAGGGCCTCTTTCTTGGCAGTGGTGCCAGTGCGTCGGCTCCGACGATGGGCTGGTGGAGGCCCCCGCTGCTGCGGGGGCCTCTGCCTTGCTTCTGGTACGGTACCCGATCTCACCGATCACCGACTTGCGTGCGAAGAGCAACCCCGTCTCGTCTCTGTCGTGCACGGCGCTCAGCGGCCAGCGCAGGGTGTACTCGCCAGGCCTGTTGAGAACGAAGATGCCGCAGCTGTCCAAGCACGGAGCGCCGTCCAATCCGCGCCAGAAGTACGCTGCTGCCGTCTCCAATCGCAAGCCTAGACCCCGAAGACTCGGCAGCGTCTGTGTGAGCGCCATGTTGCAATCCCCACAAAGGATGTCAACGTTGTTCTCCTGCAAGATGGCCGCCAGCCTCCGCCACCACGTCTTGTGAGCCTCCTTAAAGCCTTTGGAAGCTTTCGCCGTGTCGCGGTGGAGGTGCACCGCGCACACCCGCACTTTCGAGCCGAAGTGGGCGTAGGTTTGATCGAAGTAGACCTCAACCACCACGATCCTCGAGAACGCTTCCATCTTGTTCCCTTTTGCAGTTTTGTAGTGGCCGTCGACACTCCTTTCCCAATGGAGCAGCCGCATTCCGTGGCACAGATTTGCGCGCGCAGCGATGCACAAGGACTTGTCCTCACGCCCGCGCAGGGTCAAGTATTCGTACTCTGGTCGATTCTGGAGCTGTTGGCAATCGCCAACACTCGCAGCACGACTTCCTCTTGCTGTCGCCATCGCTGCTGCGGGGGCGACAAAAGGCCCACCGCTGCTGCTGCTTTGGCCCCCCGCTGCTGACGCCCCCGCTGCTGCGGGGGCGTCCGCCTGCAGCGGCGGCGGTTTCCCTGGCCGCTGTGGGATTGCCTCCATCTGCTCCTCACATTCCGCAAAGCACGCCACGAGAGCAGGGCAATGCCGCAGCTGCAACTCAAGTCTCCGCCGCTGGTCCGCGTGGTTGGTCTCGCTCGGCATGGGGCCCCAGTTCCCGAACAGGACGGAAAGGTTGCCCACGTGGTCGTTCCGCTGCCTGTTCACGTCAGCCGCTCTACTTTCGCAGAAGAACTGGAGCGGGACGGTGTCGCGAAGAACGCACTTGCGCCGCTCGACGTCGTCGGGCGGCGCGCAGCCCCCAAAGGCCGGCTGATCGCGCCGCTCTTCCTGAGGCTCTTCGTCGTCGCTCGGATCCACCACCGAGTCGCCTGGGCGGGTGCGCATCGTGGAAACTTCTGATCGCGCCGCCGCTGCTGAGCTTGAAACGCCAGGCGGCGCAGCCTCCGCTGCTGCGGGGGCGCCCTCTGGCACGAGGGCCCAAGGGCCCTTCCAGGGTTCTGCCTGACCACCCACAGGTCGCCAAACCTTCCCAGATTTCGCTGTATACACTGCCGACAGTCGGCCCCGAGGCCCCGCTGCTGCGGGGCCCAATGGGCTGCTGCTGCTGCTGCTGGCCGCGGCCATCACTCCCTGCCCCCGCGTTGCAGGGGGGGCGGCCGTCAGAGCCGGACTCCTGGGGCCGAAACGGCGGTGGAAGGAGGGGGCGGGGCGAAGAGGAGGAAGACGGGGCGGATAGGGAAGGGAAAGGGCGGGCAGAGAGAGAGGGATAGAGAGAGAGAGAGAGAGAGAGAGAGAGAGAGAGAGAGAGAGAGAGAGAGAGAGAGAGAGAGAGAGAGAGAGAGAGGACGGACGATAACGAGAGAGAGAGAGAGAGAGAGAGAGAGAGAGAGAGAGAGAGAGAGAGACGGACGACGATAACGAGAGAGAGAGAGAGAGAGAGAGACGGACGCGGAGGAGGGAGGAATGAGATAATGACCAGGAGGGTGATCAGGGAGAAGGAGGGGGGAGAGCAGGAGGAGGGGCGGAGTGATCGACACCCGCGTGGTTTTCTCCCCCTGCCTGCTCTCCCCCTCCTCTCACCTCCTCCCCCGTCCTCCCTCCTCCCTGTTTCTTCTGCATAGGGCCTGCACTACGTCCGCGCGCGCACGCGGCGCCTCAGTCGCAGCCAGGTGGAAGAGCAGTGGCTGCTGCCCGAACTCACACCCCGCGCCTCGCCGCCGCTGCGGCGGGCCGCGCCTCTCAGAGGCCCCCAGCTGCAGGGAGCGCAAGCGCCAGGGAGCCAGACAGACGGCGTCGCGTCTCACTGTGCATAAACATGCTGAAAGCTCTCGGGTTGCCTCCCAAGTGCTCGTCTATGACGTTCTGCAGCCACGTGGCAAACGTCTCCGGCCACTTTCCACCGAAGTCCTCCATGCCATCGGCGTCCCATTCCCGCCGAAACCACTCAAAATCTGACCGCTGAGCTGCAGAAAGCCCAGAACCCAGCCCCGCCAGGCGATTCAGCGCGTCGTACCTCGACGTTCGACCCGCCGCGCCTCCGCAGCTGCGAAGGCCCGCGCCCGGCTCGGAGAACCCGACATGCTTCATCCTGTGTTTGATATATATGGCTGCCTCTGCGTCTAAGAGTTTGGCTTGCTGTGTCCTCAGCAGCCTGCGCGCTTTCTTTACGTCCCCCCCAGGCGGGTTAGCTCTTCTCTGCGCCGCGCCTCGACATCCCGCTGTCGTTTCTCGTTTCTGAGCGTCGCCTCGCGGGCGTCCTCGTACGCTGCGAGGGCCCGCTGAATCCCAATATCTTCCTTCGACACTTCACGCACTCGCCTCCGTTCTTTCCGTAATAGCGTCTGCATGAACGTGGCCCCCGCGATGTCGCCCCAGCTGCGCAACTCCTCAGCGATCGACGAATACGTTCTCATCAAGTCAGACGTCTGCTCCGCGGTTTCCATACGAGACGTCGACAGGCCAGGCGGCGCCTCCAGCGCGCTCTCCCCCGCCGCTGCTGCGTTGAGGCTTTGATTGGCCCATTCGTAGTCAAACTCGCCAGCGGCGCTCCACCCGTCGTCGTCCTCGCTCCCATCATCTTCATCTCCTTCGAGGGCGTCGACGGAATTGCCACCCTCAGTGCCCCCGCTGCTGCGGAGACCCTCGGCTGCGTCTTCCGCCCCCTCCATGCCATGCC